CCCCAAAACCCCAAAACCCCAAAACCCCTTTAGTTATAAATAGCGATAATCAGCTGATTATGAAATAATATAAAAATTAGAAAAGACAGAGCACAAATTTTTAAAACCAAAGTTCAGCTATTTGATGGAATCTAAGTACAGGAAAATAGAAGTTCTAGGCAGTGGTGCTTTCGGAACAGTTTATAAGGTCTAAAGAAACTCAGATAAGCTTTATTATGCCATGAAATAATTTAACGACCCTGATATCAAGCAAATAATTCAAGAAATAAAAGCTCTTTAGGAGATGGACTTTAAAAACATCATTCGGTATTATGATTCAAGTCTGGATCCACCCTGCATTGTAATGGAATACTGTGAAAAAGGAAGCTTAGATAAGAGGATTAAGGATGCCAAGTAAAAGAATAAGAAAATATCAGAGGAGAAGGCCCTTAATATAGTCAAGTAAATCTTAAAAGGATTGAGAGAATGCCATCGCAGCAAGCTGGTACATCGAGATCTCAAGCCTGCTAACATTCTGATAAACTCAAAAGATGTTGTCAAAATTGGTGATTTCGGATTAGCTAAGTTCATGCAATAAACTCACCTCATTAGTTAATGTGGTACTATATTATATATGAGCCCAGAGATTATTGAGGGTAATCATTATGATGGTAAATCAGACATTTGGGCAGTGGGCTGCATCTTGTATGAGTTGATAGAATTATAACAACCCTTTGCATTTTCAAAAAGTTTGATGGAAATCTATAAAAATATAATTGCAGCTAACTACTAATCTCCGAAGAAATGTAGTTCCAAAACAGGCAAACTTATTTCTTCAATGATTGAGCCAGATAAAAATGAAAGAATAGATGCTAAAGAAGCGATCAGAATGATAAGAAGAATATTAAAGCATTAAGATTTAACAGAAGATCTAAGTGATTAAGAGTTCAATTCTCCTAAGCCTAGATAAAATTTACCTCCATAAGATTTTAAAATTCGTAAAGTGCAGCCAGTAAAAATGCAGCAAAACTTTATTGATATTCCAAAGCCATCATTTATTGATGTAAAATTTAAAGGATAGGCTGGTTACACTCTTTATAGATAATATGGATAAGTAGAACTGAGAGCGAAACAAATCGTTAATAATTATAATGGGCCAACTGGTCCCCTTAAATTAGAGCTCTGGGCTGTTCCAGTATAAGCATTTAAGTCAGAAGATTGGTACAAGCAAGCATATGGCTATGTCATTGCAAGGTATTAAATTGATTAAGGCTTGACGGAGGGAGAAAATTATAATGATATTAAAATCAATGTTAAGTACATAAAAAGAGGTGAATATGGTAAACTCCACGCTTTTATAATTAAATTGTTTTCGTATTCCTTTTCAATTGAATGGATTTAGTCTGATGCTATTGTTTGTGTTGGGTAATAAGTTCTTTATAAAGAAAAATTAGAGATCTTAGGTAAATTTAATTACTATTTACTTGGTTACCCAAATATGAGATTGACTATAGAAAAAATAAAAAATAATCATAGCTATTAAACAGGAAAAATTAATATTTTTATAGTTGCTTGCAAATATAATCCTAATTTTGAAAAGTAGGATTATAAAAATGCTCCATACGATACTTTTGCCTCATGCAAGTTAGGCTAACTTTAGGCAGGACAATCCTTTTATGATATTGATTAAGTAATATAATATCACCCCCCATGGTCTGGAAAATATGTTTTAGTATTAAAAGTTTTTTAAAGTAAGAAATCTTCCTCAGATAGAGTAAGTTTTTCAGAATCTCAATATGTATGCGAGAATATCTTAACATTCTGATATTTTATTGATTTAGAGTATTATGATGATTTTTTAATTGATTTATTTCTTTTTCAGAAACAACTAAAAAGAAATATAGCCAGGGGTTTTGGGGTTTTGGGG